CGAGGATAATTTTTATTAACTTAAGTGACATATATACGATAGCCCGTGGTTTCACAATATCGCGACTCAGAAAATTAACACAGCGCCATCTATCGGGCTTAAACAAAACTAATGGTTATTCATTGAACACCAACAGCATAACAATTTGTTTAACAATATAAGTGTACAAAAGTTTTATATAGACAATTACAAAAGTTTTATGTGGTTTTATAAAATAAGTTTTATACAGTTAAAATAATTGTTTACAATAGGAGAGACCTATGTCCAGCAGGGCATTGCAATAGGCAATTAGAAAAACTATTAGCATGCCTATTACTGGCAAATAAACATTTTTTACACGGCCGTGTGATCCCAAACTAGGCAGAGCCTGTGATATGGTAACCAGACTGTTAGTAAACATACTCATATATTTGTATATACACACGTATCATATATAAATTACACCCAGACATAGAACAAATGATCACGTTCACATACACAATTACTCGTGCATACACAATTGTTAGTGCTGGTTGGGCCTCGAACCGAACCCACGACCTCTAGCTTCGCAGTGAGCATCGCGAACCACTAGACCAACAGGGTCTGCACCCTGTTGGTCTAGTGGTTCGTGAAGCGTCAGTGAGCGCCCGTTAGCTATATATATTTTTTATACCACCATTTTGTACCACTTTTACCCAAACAACATTATTATTATTAGACCATCGTTAAAAAGCCCAAATCTAATGCACTCGTTCAAACATATCATGCCGAAACTCGATTGGTTTAGTAATGGTCCCTGAAGAGTTCCTGTTTTCATATCCTGTGCCATCGCCTAAAATTCAGTATAGTTATCCAAACCACGTATACAAACACAGTTTCATTTCGATACAAGAACTAGAAGCAAGCAAAAATTTACTTCCAAAATTGATTTCCCCCCCATCTTATTCCATGGGGGGGGGGGGGGGAGTTTCGGCGTTTAAGTTGGAGATGTCCAGTGACGGCGGCAGTCAAGTGACAATCAGGTGATAGATCTCCTCGTTTGTCCTTGCCCATATGGTAAAAATGAACATAGTACCACATAGGAACTGAATTTTATTTCGGACTATATTCATCATCATCATCAACAGCCTTTACTAGTCCACTGCTGGACATAGGCCTCTCCTTAGAAAGGAGGTTTGGCGACGGGTTGGTATAGGGTTTGTTTTCAGTTTTCCTTCTCTCTGCAGTGCTGTTGTCCTGCGTAGTTTACTCCCTTAGTCGGCTCTTACGATACCCACAGGATGAATGGGAGTGGTGACACTCTGTATTCTTAGTTCTGTCACCACACGGACTATATTCAATACAGTAGTAATTTTAATGTTTTCCATTTCACTTCCTTAAATGCCTCAATTTTGCCTCATATTACAAATAAATTACCAGAGTCAGTGCAATTTGTTCGTCCATCTAATTAACCAACTGATATCCTCCTAACTCTAGAAATACCCAGCTCCATTGGAGTTACCTGTAATCTGTTCTTCAGATGTTCTGTAACCAACAATCTTCAGTAAATTCTTCAATGCCTAAATCTCGACTAAACCCCAAACACGCATTAGAAGTCAAAACTTCTAGTGCTAAAAATCTTACTTCTACATTTTGAACACAAATACACATATCTATTTCGACAGTTATGTGTATATAGCAGGATTTTGTTTACCTGCGTGATTTTAACTAAAAATACTTACACGTGCGTAAATATAACCTACATAGAGGCACATTAGCGTGTGAGCGAACACCAATCACTAAACATTTTAAAGGCTCCTGCTATTCGTACGTACAAGGATCTAAAAATAGTAACTGCCGACTATATAAGTAATCAAGGGTATTATATTTTGCTGATAAAGCTAAAACTAAGTCATTCTCTGCATTTTTATATAACACTAGCTAACCCGGCAAACGTTGTTTTGTCTTATATATTATTTCTAGGAGATATTGAAAAAAAAAGCCGTGTGGTGTCGTGGGACACCCGATTCCGATATAGGAACGAAGTTGTGACGATCGAGTAAAACTGATTCGACATGATTTTAATTACAACGCCATCTATGAAAGCGGCTATTACCTACATATTTTTCAGTTGGTTTCTAATTAAAACAATTTATACATTGGTAAAATCTCCTTGAGAAATTATGTCGAATACAATATTTTTTGCTCAACCTAAGAACATAAATTTTAATTTTACTGAGATGAAAAGTAATGATTTCCTATCTATTCGATAAAATAAAAAGTGTCGTTACAACTTTTCGTGAGATTTTTTTCCGTCTAGCCCCCTTTCACAACGCGCGATAAGGAACTTCGTTCCAAAATTTGGGGGTGGGTCACCCTTGTCTTTTAGGGGTATCAAAAATAGATGTTGGCCGATTCTTAGACCTACCAGTCCAGCCGTTTCGGAGGAGTATGTTAACTAACATTGTGACACGAGAATTTTATATAAAAGATTTTCAACTCCACCAATTTACTTCTGATTAATTTCGTCGCGGGTTCACAGACAGTTTAAGTTTTGCTGGGACACCCCGCGTGTCGTGACTCGGTGTGTTCGTGGGTCACTGCTGTTGATCCTGGTGTACGGAAGTTACAATAGAGGGCGTGTGGGAGGGATGATCTATTTAGGATGAGGATTAAGAATACAGAGTGTCACTACCCCTATTCATCCCGTGGGTGTCGTAAGAGACGACTAAATGAAAAAACTAAGCAGGACAACAGCACTGCAGAGAGAAGGAAAACTTGACACAAACCCTATACCAACCCGTCTGGCCAGCGTTGTATAGTAGGCCAAAACTTCCTTTCTAAGGAGAGGCTTATGACCAGCAGTGGACTATTAAAGGCTGTTGATGATGAGTGATATACATTATGTACATACCTTTGAATTTACTGACGTTTCGCCCAGGTTGCACAGGTTTACTAAAACATAATGTTTCTACAACAGATTGCTAGCTGAGTTATGGAAGAGTATTTTCTGAACACGACCTGTAAAACATGTTCTGGATTTAGCATTGATCTTTGATCAATAATAAACATCTAGTATCGACGAAAATTAAAAAAAAAGTGGTTAGTAATTTTGAAAATGTGACCAGGTGACCGCTATGATTGAATTTAGTATAAACCTTTGACAGATTTCAACAAGTCCTGTACACTACATTTTTTTTTTATAAAAAGACAACTCCCGCATTAGGAATATGTCATGTGTCGCGGGGGACTTTACTAACGTACATGAAACGGAGACAAAGAACACCCAGACACAAAACAACAATTTGTAAATCACAACAAAGTGTCGTCCCATGTGGGGTTTGAACCCACAACACTCGGCGTAGTAGGAAGCGGCGTGGCGACCGCTTAAACCACTACGCCATCCGTGCAGTCAAATTGTGTAGTATGACCGGAGATATCACTTTAAGCTATTGAAAAAAATAATATATATATGGTCTACTAGCTGGTGCCCGCTACTTCGTTCGCGTGGTATTTGAAAAGAGCTGCCTTAGTGAGTTCGATTCCCGGACCAAGCAAAATTTTATAGGGTTTTTCTGAGAGAGAAAAATAGCCTAAGTTACTCCTTAAATAGACAGATACTTGGTAGTAAAATTTATTATATTTATAACATATATTATCAAAATCGGTCCAGCTGATTACCCAGTACAAACAGACATATAGACAGACATACAAAAAATATTTAAACTGGTTTTTAGGCGTAGGTATCGTGCAAATAACCGTGTCAGCATGAAAAAACAAATTATTTTGACATTACAAACAGACACTTCAATTTTATTTATAGATGTGAAAGTCTAACAGGGTAAGTCTTTGGAGGAGAGCGAATAACTATTCCACTGAAGGTAGATCAAGATTTGGTTTCAATTCTTCATAAGTCGGAGCAATTTTTGTATCATCATCAGCCTATCGCAGTCCACTGCTGGAGATAGGCCTCTCCCATTGCATGCCACTTAGATCGATTTTTAGCCTAATTTTTGTATATTTATTTCTTATTTTGTATATTAAGTATATTTTAACAGAATGTTTATCTTTTAAGATCAATTATTACAGAAACTTAGTTGAGATTTTTTCTGTCTCAGCTGAAAATGTCTAGCAGTAACAAGAATCATTTTATATGTTAAGAATCTATAAACAATCGAGTACTTAACTTACGCCGTATTGACTGTTAATTTACTTACGCAGTTAGTTTTATTGAAGAATACAGCGGAATTGATCCTGCTATTACTATCTTTATGTCTGACAAGCCGAAGTCAAACACGTTATCTTTCTTGATCAAATTATATCAAAATATTATAACCGCCGCGCCGAATTACGGCACATATGACAGTCGGGCGGTGATAATCACTTACCCGGTGATCGGCCTGCTCGTTCACACAAAACCACAGCCAAAAAATTACTTAAATCAACAGACTTTAACAATCCACTGCAGGACATACGTCTCTTCTTAGAAAGGAGGTTTTGGCCTACTATACCACGCTGGCCAGACGGGTTGATATAGGGTTTGTGGTGTTGGTCCAGAAGGCGATAACTACCTGCACCCCCTTTTTTTTCCGTGAAGAAATCCCCTCGGATACCATGGCATGTCGGACTCGAACCGACTAAAACCGCACGCCGTCTCGGGTACTAATAGCCGGGGAACCAGGTATACCCTTGGACCCCCCCTAAAATAGAAGCGCAAAGAGGGCACGCCATGTGGTTTTAGTCGGTTCGAGTCCGACACACCGCCCCGCCGAACAGAGAACCCGGGCGGGGTGACGGTCCGAGGGGATTTCCACGATAAAAAAAAGAGGGTTTGTGTTGTTGGGGCACATACTTTGTTATATCTTACAGTTTCAAGCTTTCCTTCTCTTTGCAGTGCTGTTGTCCTGCGCCATTAGGTAATTTACTCAGCTCTTACGACACCCAGAGGATAAATAGGGATGGTGACCCTCCTTACACGCTGTTAGAATTCCACTGACCTTGTCATGTTTGGTTTCAGATACACATTAATCGCCTACTACGACATGTACTCCCAAATCTACACGACGACCAAGATCTGGATCCAGCTTATAATGATATGGGTGGTCTCCTTCGGGCTCATGGTGAGTTATGTAACAGGCATTCGTAGATTCAGGTGCAACAAGATAGCAACAGCCTTTAATATTCAACTGCTGGACATAGGCCTCTCCTTAGAAAGGAGGTTTTGGCCTACTATACAACACTGGCCAGACGGGTTGGTATAGGGTTTGTTTTAAGTTTTCCTTCTCTTTGCAGTGCTGTTGTTCTGCGTAGTTCGGCTCTTACGACACCCACGGGTTCTTAATCCGTCACCACACGGACGTGGTACAACACCGGCCAATAAGTTTAAAGCATGTGTGCCATTTTGGTAGAAATACAGAAATGGTGCAATTTAAGCGCCTGTTCAATATTGGTTACTTTCCCCTTTATCTTAAAGCAAGGCCCCACAACAACGGCTATTAAAAAAAACGAATATGTAACAAATTGTTACTATCAATCAATGGCGCGAATGCGCGAACGTTTCCCGCTATTTTGATAACTAAAACAATTGCATCACATTTGCATCACATCACAAATGAAAACAGAAGTCAGGCGAACAATCAACACTTGCTTTCAACAAATACGAGATTCACAGTTTAGATATGTTTAAAAAACTTTACGGTTCAGTAGTCTAAACAAAACCCTTGTAGTTTCGACATGCCCTTCTTCCTAGCCGTCCGTGAACAGCGTGCAAATCTACACCAATAAACGAAATTGAAGTGTCTGTTTGTAATGTCAAAATAATAGGTTTTTTTCATGCTTACACGGTTATTTGCACGATACCTATGCCTAAAAACCTGTTTTAATATTTTTTGTCTCTCTGTCTGTCTGTTTTTTTCCTGGTAATCTTTAAAACGCCTGGACCAATTTTGATAATATTTTACTACCAAGTAGCTGTCTATATAAGGCGTAACTTAGACTATTTTTCTCTCAGAAAAACTCTAGAAAATTTTGCCTTGTCCGGGAATCGAACTCACTAAGGCAGCGCTTTTCAAATTCGACGCGAACGAAGTCGCGGACACCAACTAGTAATACATATTATACTAGCAACCCGCCCGGCTTCGCACGGGTGCAATGTAGATAAAATAAAAAGTAGCATAAAGCATTCAGATATTTCTAACGGTGAAAGAATTTTCAAAATCGGATCAGTAGAACCGGGGATTACCCCGAACATATAAACTCACAAACTATATATAACATTAATATACTAATAAGATAAAGTCTTGAAAAATATGGCTATTAGCCATTCCTACCCCTCTCTCCTCCCTTCCTCTCCACATAAAGTAGGGATGTTTTTTTGTCTATCTCCTATCTATTATCCCCTCTGAGGTATGGGAAGGTCAATCAGAGGTATTCTCTTACTGGCCCCCGTCTAGAAGCTAAAAAAAAAATATGATAGCATAACATTACTATCCAAGAAGGCATAAGTATCAGTATTTTTAAGTTAGTTTAAGATTAACAGTCGTCCAACTTATAAAATACCGGTTGGCAAATTGCCAACAACGTACAAAATCCCTCAAAAATTACAAAAAGCTCCCTCCTCTCCCCTTTGCTCATCAAAGACGCGTCAGATAGCTTGCTTGAGAATAATGCCCCGGATTCGGTTTCGAGAATTAGAGAAAACAACGTCTCCCTAACTCCAACGAGACTCCCTTTTGCTCAAAACCAGTCTTTCCTTTCCCTATAATTATTGAATGTAATAAAGAAGTCCCACGTAATCGTGACAGAAAGCTTAGCTTCGGAAAGTTCCGGAGCTGTGTTATGAGCACTTACCTATCTTTTTTTTGTGGGTACAATTTACAAATGTTACCCACTTATGTTAAAGTTATTTGATTTTATAACAAATTCTTATAAGGACGGATTTTAGTTTTCTATACCGTTTTTTTTCTGTGCGGAAATCCCCTCGGATACCACCCACCGGTGGTTATGTCGGACTCGAACCGACCAAAAACCGCACGCCGTCTCGGATACCAGTTGACGGGGAACCAGGTGTACCCTAGGAAGGGAAACCCTGATACATAGTATATACCTATGCTGGAATTTACAAATAGCAACATTATTCTCATTATTAATTAATATTAATTATTTGGCCCGTAGGTAAACTACGAGAGTACTCTATGGAATGTTGGAATGTATTAAGAAAACACTTTTAAAAGTAAAGAGTTAACCTTTTTAAATACAGCACAACACATGGACAAAGTTTATACACACAATAATTTGAATATTTGCTAAAGCCAAAATACTTTAACTCGAGTTTGTTTGCCCTTTCTTCTCTTAAGGCTCAACCCCTTGGAAACGGGCGGTTGTAGATCGGCACAGGCATATCATAGATTTTGTATGGGTTGATTTTTGTTAAATTTATTTGGTTACTATTTGACAAAACAGAGATTGTTGCTTTTGTGTGTGTTGATCTATGACTTTAGAGTCTACATGGAAGACGATTTTAAACAATTTTGGAAATTTTATGAAATAAAGAAAGTTTGAATTTGAGTTTGAAAATTAAAACAACAAAACAGAGAAATTTTGAATTAAGAATTTTAACCGGATGTTTCCTTTTTATCACTGTTTGAAGGTAGAAATTCACGTTTACATTTAAAACGCGCTAACGTCATAACTTCACAAGTGTTTGGCCTATATTACGTCATACACTACTCAAGACGACATGTTGATAGTTATATCCGATTTTTTGTTCAATTAGACTAAAAATAAATCTAAAAAGTATATTTCGCAACAACAGTTCAAACACGTTCCAGGCATATCTTATGTATGTTTCCACAATCTATGGTATTAATAAAAACGATTAAAGAAAAAAAACGAAATAGAAATACTGTAGATTTAAATTTGGAATTAACATATGTTTTCGTAATGGCGGACGTGAACTCATTCCTATTACAAATTTTAGCTTAGTTGACTTATTAAAAAGTGTAAGTACGAAGCTTATGTACATAGTTATAAGTTTATAAGTCATATTATTAATTAAATAAAAATATGTCGTGTCACTATGTTTGTGGTCTCACTCCTCCGAAACGGCTCGACCGATTTTAATAATTTGTTTTTTGTTTATTTGGTAGGCATAACTATAGGTCGTAAGGTATTTTTTACCCTCCTACCCCCACCCTTCAAGACGTGCACGGGTCAGCTAATAGAATATTAATATATAGACTATTGAATGACGTGGCGCAATATTTATGCTGTTTTGACTATGATAGACCGCACTCCGTAGTAAATGCAGCCTATTTGCTCTGAACTCTTCAGAGGTTGTGAGATCCATAAGGAGCCATTTCCATCAACACTGTGTTAAAAAGCTATGATTATGATTATTCTACATATACAAAAAATTTACTGGAATTACAATGATAATAACTAATTTCAAGGAAAACGCACAATTGCGTCCATTGAGAGATGCTTGTGGCAGGATCGTGCCACTGTGCTGTAATTGTACTAAACAAACGAACTGGCTAGGCCAAGAGATTGCAGCTGAAAGTTTGCTTTTAAACCTAAGCGCATAATGAACTTCTCGCGATATTCAATCAAAATTGAGTGCACGGATGGCGTAGTGGTTTAAGCGGTCGCCACGCCGCTTCCTACTACGCTGAGTGTTGTGGGTTCAAACCCCACATGGGACCACACTTTGTGTGATCCACAAATTGTTGTCCTGAGTCTGGGTGTTATTTGTGTAAGTTTCATATATGTTTGTAAAGACCTCCGCGACACAAGATATATTCCTAGTGCGGGAGTTGCCTTTAAAAAAAAAAGCAAAGACAAAACTAACAGGAGTTTAAACCGCTTAGTAATAAAATTTATTTCGAGTTACTTTGATTCATAGTAATTGTTGATGGAACATTTAAACTTAGCCCATGTTAGTATAAAGGAACATAATTACAAAAAGATGCATGTAGCGGAAAGCATCGAGTCATATATCCAGTCTATCATGGCTACGACCCTGTTATAGCTACCCCTTTACCTGCGACAAGAATGATGCTCCTCGTTTGAGTATGGTTCAGTAAAATCAAGCTAAAATTTTGCCACATCAAAGTTGTTACAAACTGCAATAAAATCCTGAAAATATTTCAGAAATACAACACCACTCTATTTACCTACGTGACCGCTTATTTGTTTGCCGATACCCAGTTAAAATGAAATAGTAGTTTTTTTTAAAGACTACTCCCGACTTAGGAATATATCCTGTGTCGCGGGGGGACTTTATAAACATACATGGAAACAGACACAAAGCACACCCAGACTCAGAATAATAATTTGTGGATCAAACGAAGTGTTGTCCCGTGTGTGGATCGGACCCACAACACTCAGCGCAGTAGTAAGCGGCGAGGTGACTGCTTAAACCACTACGCCATCCATGCAGTCATTATGCAGTCCTCCATATTTGGTGCGCTGCCTGCTTTTTTGGACATACATGACATACACTTAGAGGCATAACTATATAATTATAATAGTAAATACTCGTAGACAAATACTTATAAGACATATACAGCAACAGTCTGTTACAAACTATTTGCTTGATATGATCACGGCCTTATAGTTATAAAACAGGCGTAAACAGACTAAATAGTGTTATAGGTCGGAAACCGTGGAATTAGTTCGTTGCACTTCCACGTTGATTCTCTCGTTTAATTGTCCTGAATTGAGTAACATCCTCCACAGTCTGTTTTATTGGCAGTGTTACGTATACATCGCTAGGAATACTTAAGAGTATTATATTAGCTACTGTACTAAAAGATAGGTACTGTATTTTATGCATTCAATCATTCTTTCTTTTTCTTTCCTTTTAAAAAGATAACGCCCGCACTAGGAATATATCCTGTGTCGCGGGGGACTTTACAGGGGGGTCATCTACTCGTCTGTATATGGCCCGAGGTATGTCGGGGCACCAGGGACTTCCTTTCTAGGGTATACCTGGTTCCCCGGCTATTAGTACCCGAGACGGTGCGGTTTTAGTCGGTTCGAGTCCGACATGCCACCGATAGGTGGTATCCGAGGGGATTTCGGCACGGAAAAAAAACATAAAGGGGGACTTTATAGACATACATGAAACAGATACAAAGCACACCCAGATTTAGAACAATAATTTGTAGATAACACGAAGTGGTGTCCCATGTGGGGAACGAGCTCACAACACTCAGGGCAGTAGGAAGCGGTGAGGTGACCGCTTAAACCACTACGCCATCCGTGCAGTCAATCCCTTAAATAATCCTAAATGAATCAAATTCTAATTTCTCACACATCTCACTCGTGTTAATATAAACAAAAAAACCTCCAAATAAGCAACCATAACAATAGAAATTCATTGAAAACCCCCATCAGACCAGAGACTCCAAAATCTAAAATCACGTCCTATGCCTCCACGTAATTGTTCTCAACCTTTTCTTTCCAGGTGCCACCCCTTCTAGGAATCTGGGGTCAGCTGGGCCTAGACCCCAACACATTCTCCTGCACAATCCTCCCAAAAGACGGCAAATCTCCAAAGAAGTACCTCTTCGTGCTAGCGTTCGCTCTCCCGTGCGTCGTGATCATAATCTCTTACTCTTGCATATATTGGAAAGTTAGACAGAGTAAGAGGAAGCTGGAGGGTCGCAGGTGTGTATGTGGGTGAGATATCATTGTCACTTTATTTGTGACTAATGGTGGTGGGATATTTGTTGTAGATTTAAGTTAGAAGATAAAGCACCCCATCTATATAGGGGGCAAAAGAAGCCTCCTATGAACGCCTGCATCTCAATTTTTTAGTGTTATTTACGTTTTCATTATGTAATTTTTTATAGATTCAAGTTTTTGTGCCTTATATGTAAGTGCTGTAGTCTTCTGTAATTGAGGGACTACACGGCATTATTCATGGTCATTATATACTGTGATATTGCTATATCCTTTGTTAGAAACTCAATATAAATAAATAAACTCAGGAGTTGACACTCTTTGTGTGACAACCACCTAGAATTAGGAGAAGGAGGTGTCTGGGCCTCTGATAACTTCACTTTTCTGTGAGGCCGTGGAATCACTCGAATCGAGCCAGCACATTTGTGTCGAAGCATCGCTGTCCCACTATAACTTTGTTGGTTACCGATTAGTAAACATACAAAACCAATCTTGTCCCTGTGAAAAATAAATAATAATATTTCGGACATCTGACACACAACGAATCGTCGAACTGAATCAGTCCAATTCTTCTTCTTCTTATTTAAAAAAAGAGACTGAAAATTAAGAAGGAAGTAACACAGAATAATTGGTTTAATTTTCTATTCTTTATAATATTTATTATTATTATTTTAATGTAATAGTCAACTGCTAGATATGGACCTCTCCTTAGAAAGGAGGGGATAGGTTGGTATAGGGTTTGTTTCAAATTTTCCTTCTCTTTGCAGTGCTGTTGTCTTGCGTAGTTTGCTCTCTTGGTCGGCTCTTACGACATCCACGGGATGAATAGGTTTCACGTCCTTATAATTAGATGTTATTAAAATATTAATAATTATATGTTACTTATTTTCACAGCAAACTAAGTGGTCAAACAGCCAAAGAAAAAGAAGAAGACTCACGCCTGACAACATTGATGCTTACCATCTTCCTCTGTTTCCTCGCGTGTTTCCTGCCCCTCATGATCATGAATGTAGCTGACGACGGCATCACTTACCCTTGGCTGCACATCATCGCCTCGATCCTGGCCTGGGCCTCCAGCGTCATCAACCCGTTAATATATGCTGCAACCAATAGACAATACCGAGCAGCTTACGCAAATTTACTAAAATTTTGTAAAAACAGCGCCGTAACTAAACGTACGACTTGGGGAAGCAGAACTATGGGTCATTCTTCAAATTCGCCACATTATGTGGAGAAAAGAAATCACATGAAAGATAAACCCACTAACTTATGAATTAGTGCGACATCTAGCGGAGAATAGATGACACCTTAAATATTTAACGCCAATGTTCTTTGTCAAATGTTAACCATAGATTCTTTTTTTTAAACTACACGTAACGCCTTTTAGATTTAAAAAAGAATCTTTATTGCTCTATACATCAACGATGCTGGCGCGTACATGTGGAATTTTTGATTTATTTCCCTCAAAATGTATGTATTTTTAATGAAAGTTAAAATGAGTAATTAAAAGGTTTTCATTCTAAATTGCACAATATTGTAATTACAATTAATGGTATCGTTGTAGCTTATTGTATATCGCTATACCCGTGTTAATCATTATGAATCTCATTACTTCTAAACAAATGCGCGGGAAACGTCTGTCAGAACAAAATGGACGGACGTCTTACCTAAGTTGCATTTAATTAGCAATTAAATTTCCACAAGCTTACAAAGCTTATAAAAATATGGTTAACTGTATCCACAGCTGGAAAAAATGACCGAATTCTGCCGATACAAGTACAGACTTCTAAAACATATTTGTAAATATTAATTATAAAAATAAAAATTGTATATAAAAGCAATGGTAGCTATATTATAATTTAGTCTATTACTGCTTACCATTTAACTTAACCAAAGTAAAATATTACCTTTTTTTATTTTTATAGAAGTATTATTTTTTAAGATAATTTTAGGTAAATGCTTTATGATTTTGTAATATTTACTATTTAAAGAAAAATGAGAATTGCATTCCTTTAGTTTTAAATTATATTTAGCATTGATGTGGTGAGTGGTCAAGATTGGATTCAGACATAAGATGATTTTAACATTCGTCTGCATCCGCCTTTAATTAAAGTGATTATTGGGTGTGAGTTAATAAATAATCGTGAAAAACTAAATATTTTTTTAGCAATAACAACGAATTAAGTTTTTTTATTGTAAGTACTTTCATTTGGACATTATCTATACCTATATTAATACTTAAGGAGAATTTTTATACACATTTTTAAGCAACCGAGTACAGACAGAAATGTAACATTCGCAATACTATAAGTTTAAATATAGAAAAAGGGCAGAAAGTTAAAAAAAAATAAACGATATGTATTATAAAGCTAAACATCATATATAAACGGCTAGTAGGTATTTGGACCTGTCATGGTACAAAATTTTATACAATGACAGTTCAAGTCATACTGGGCATTGAAATAAAACAAAACATTCAAAATGGCCGAAACTCGACTTCCAGATGATTCTTGTTTTCGAAATCTAGATATGACGACGGGCAAAATGATCACACATTTTACGTTATATTTAAAAAGCACAGACGTAACAGTCATCCCAGTGAACACATGACGTAAAATTACGTAAATGTGATATCAATGTGACATAACACAAAATTTTTATATCATTTTGTGTTCACTGAGATTTTATGCGCTCGGAGCGAGCCCGCCATCGGTAAGATCGCCTCCATACACCAGTTCTACGCAATTTGGTTATTTGGCGTCCTGTGAAGTAACGCTGGCACCTCTCCAGTAACGACTCTACTAAAAAGCACACCAATTGATAACAGTGAAACATACTTATATACCTAAATAACTAGTAAAATGTTTAATAATAAGAGCTATAGGTTCTCGCAAAGACTGATTTGTAAAAGTCAATTAGGATTAATAGCCCCCCAAACAAGCAAAGCTAACAATTTATCCATATTATTGTAATTTAACACATATATTATCTAATTCAAATCATATTTATTGATCCAAGTTCTCTGCGTCTATGTATATCGAAAATCATTTGTTATAATAATTTATTGTATTAAATTAGATTAATATGTTATTTAATAAGTGAACCAAAGCTAAAATAAATGTATTTATATTAAACAGCAATGATTTTTATTTAAATCACACTCAAGATATGTTTATTTCATTAAAAAACAATTGTTTGAAGTCGTCTTTTATATAGATTCTAAGGACATAGATCAACACAAGCTACAATGCCTATCTTAAAAAATAACCTGTGCTAAATTAATCCCAAACATTCTTGTCCTCTATGTAAGCCACAATTGAGTAGTAGGCTTTCTGACATAATTTACATATTATTGCGGATTTAAATTTGTTTGTACTTAAGTGTTGTATATTATTTGGGATTTTATTACAAAGTCGGACAAATCTTAAATCTTACTTTAGTCAGGATTAGTATCAATCACAGTCCTTTGATTTATTTTTATACCTTTTTTATGGTATAGGTGGGTAAACGAGACGAGTCGGCTGATGGCAAGTAACCACCTCCGCCCAAGAGTCATAAGTGCATTGCCACCAATGATATGATATACAAACAAGAGGTAGATACGCCACCAGCGCACAAAACGTGAGCTGTGAATTGGTCCTAATTAGGAGCACTACGACCGAGCGCACGTTTTAATTAATTCGCTGAAACTCATAAAATGCCTTTCTGTGTATTCCGAAAGTGCACAAATTACGACAAAAGGTAAATAAAGATAAAGGAATATCATATCACAGGTAAGTGTATGTTTTGTTCTAAACTGCATTAATAGATGTATGTATAGTGTTACGGAACAAATATTTTGTGCGTGCAGCTTGAATATAACGTATCTTCCTTAAAATAACATTGGTTGCCACCCTTTGAGTAAAGAATCGCGGGGATTGAGGGTTTTAGTCTCGGGTAACCTCACTCAAGCGGTAAAAACCAACGAAAGAATTTACACGGTTTTTCTGCGAGGCGGTGGTATCAAGCCGGTTGAGCTGGTACATTTGTACCGAAATATGACCCTCACGGTGGAACAAAACTGCCGTTTGAGAGTTAAATTAAAATTCAGATCTCAGGTTAAAACTTATATAACCCACATATCAGATACCACCCATCTCTGCAATTGAAATCCCCGATAGTACCTAAAGATTTCGAATTTGGCTGAATATAAATCTACAAATTTATTAAAGATTAAGAGATTTTTTTTTTCTTACGTATGTATTTCGTTCTGCCGCGGTATCGTCAAGAGCCTGTGTAAGTCGACAGGATGTTTAACTCATCGAAAAAGACTAACGTCGGATCCAGAAGCTGGCATCCCCAAAACACACACAAATATAAATGCCATTCACAACAATTTCATTAATAAATTAATAATTATAATTAACTAAATTTCAATTTTTTCAATGTCACTTATAGCACGTGAATTAGCAGTGGATTGCTTTATCGAATCAGGTATTGAAGTAAGTATTCTTATAATCTCGGTTTGTCATACGTTAATGTAGGTTCCTTCTAAAACTGCCAAATTCAAACACATATACTGTGATCTCGCAGTCATGGAGCACTTACCTGGCGCGACTGGTAAACTATTGAATGCGTTGGTTATGACCGTGGTTACCACCAACTGCACCGCCAAAAAAAACAATCTCATCTTATCATCTTACTTCTCACGATAAGGGTAGGAACGAATGGAAAGACAGTTTTCAAACCTTTAAGTAGTAGAAGCAATCAAGTAACGTCATGTAGACGTAGAAAGGAAGGTAGTGCCATCTGTGGTTAGCAACTGACATGAAGAACTACGATTGCTTCCACTACCATATAACAGATGACGTTAATAGGACTGAAAGATTTAAGGTGTTATTATTTTCGATTTTATAAGTAAAAAAAGTGTCCGTGTTATGGTTTACTCTTTACATCGTTTAGTAACCTCAAAATAATACATTTAAAGTAATTAATTATTAAAAAAGGAATTTGAAATGCTGCACGTGGTATAAAAAAGACACATTTCATTTTGTAATATCTTTCTTCTCGCTTTGCTGGAATCTGTGAAAGTAATCTCGTGAAATGAAACGGATGTTTCTAACAGGAAACCAGAAATGTGCATGCCATTTGATTTGACTATGGAGGATATAAAGGCAAGAAGAACCATCTCATATGGGGGAAGTTGAAAAAGTGTCTAGCTGTATACTGAAAATAAAGGTCGCTGGCGTACGAAAAACTACGATATGAACTTAGCTGTTGTAGCCGGAGTGAAGTGTGCTGAGCCAAAATATTATAATATCTTTTATAGTCTGAAAGTTGTTACATGTTTATTTATTGTCTGTAAAACTCATTGACTATTACTACACATTGGTGCTAATTCTGTTGTTCGAAAACTCTCTAAACCAAACTAAAAATCACAAAAAAATAGTTTAGTCCTGTCAAGCAACGTTTCTTATTCTCAAAACATAGTACTTGACAAGACTAAACTAATTTTTAGTGTAGTTTAGAGAGTTTTCGAACAACTGAATTAGCTCCATTGTCTAATTCTAGGCTACCGCAGCGCCACCCTTATTGGACACGTTCACGACACTTTTCACACACAGAGATGGTCCCCTACCTTCTACCCTCTATAGATTTGACTAATGAGCGCGTGCTTCGCTAAGACTCTCGTTTATTTTTGCATAAAATATAACACACAAACGGAGAATATTTCAGGAAAAAAGTGTTTTATACAATGGAACAAACATAACTTTATTCAAAACAAAAAGTTATTTTATTTTATAAATTACTTCTTTCTTGTTCTACGTACTTTTGTTGTATTATTCTGAAAGATTATATTCATCATTCGCACTAAGTAATACCAAAAACCAATCACAACATTGAGTTAAAAGGTAGATGTGCAATGACAAAAATAAAAAAGATAGACTTGTCTCTGGTCGGTTGACTACTTCCTCACTGACAGTAGGTATCGCTAGAAATCTTGTAAAAATCGCCGAAAAATGGCGAAAAGGATTGCGCAAAGTTCCGTAAACTGGGCCGCCTTGGCCGAGAGGGTCCCAGCCGACCAGAAGGTGCACCTTGCTGCTTTCAAGATCAGATCGGACTCTTACCTCCGAAGGTTAGTTTTGATTGATTAGTTGGTTACATAATTTTAATTGAATTTGTTGGTTACTTTTCAAACCTATTTCAGGGTCTTGGCTAACCCTCCTGAGCCACCGAAGATCAACTGGACTGTTTACAAAAATGTTGTCCCCGTGGCAGGAATGGTTGACAAGTTCCAGAAACAGTATGAGGCGTTGACTATCCCGTACCCAGCTGACACTCAGACTGCTCAGGTGGAGGCCCAGTGGACTGAAGTCAAGAAGGCCATCGAGGCTTTCGTTAGCGAATCTAACAAGAACATTACAAGGTATTTTAAAAAGCACAAATTTATTGCTGACATAATTTTCTTAGTTAAATCTTATACACTGGCAAGATAACTCCGTCTAAGTTCGACGATTGCAGTATTTTGGTGTAATGAATTATACTTTAACATACATTCAATTTTTAACAGAACTGAACATCGTCCAGAACATAATTTCTTTCATATATCTTTCTCCTACCAAAGGTTGTCTGTAAGCAACTGCTTTTAGCAACAAGGCCCCCCTTTCTACTTGTTTCTTTGATTTCAATGTATCAAATTTATTGATTTTAATAGTTATAAAAAAAAATCTATTCTAAATTTATACAGTGATAGCCACTAATATTCTTAATATTAAGTGTTGCATTTTTCTAATCGGAATCCTCTTGCTTTCAATTTTTACGAGCTCTGCTATAACAAAAAGCTTATATCTGTTATTAAGAAAGATACTTTAATAGGTGGGTAATATACATACTATCAGAAAGAGACAATAATCCAATGTAAATGTGGGTTTCTACTTCATTTAATTAGTCTGAATATTCATGCATCACAATTTACCATACTTACAAAACAAGTCTATTGGAGTAGTATAATGAAAAAAACTGGATGGCATAGTGGTTCGTGCAACACACCGCTATTCCAAAAGAAGCAGGGTCGATTCTCCCTCAAGTTAAACATTTGTGTGCATGAACATTTAATGTTTGATTTGTTTTGGGTGTTTCTATGTATAATAAGTATGTATTTCCAAAAATAATGTATATATGTATTTATATCAGTTGTCTAGTAGCCATAGTACAAGCTCTGTTTAGTTTGGGACTAGATAGCAGGTGTGTGAATGTGGTAAGAAAAAAAGGTTTTTTTTTGGAATCAGCCTGAGTTAGGTGTAAATACCTATGTTTCAGGCAGTTACTTGACTATGACGTTAGATACATGACGTTTAATATTTTAAAGTTCTAATAGATTAATAATATAATAGAACGCATTGTAAGTTTCTTCCAACATTCTCAAAATGGGAACCCTGAATTTTATTGTTATTAACTAAAGGAAATATTACTGTTTTATTGCAGCTATGAAAAACAAATAAACGAGATCAAGGCTCTGCTGCCATACAACCAAATGACGATGGAAGACTACCGTGATGCTCATCCAGAGACTGCTTTGGACCCGATCAACAAACCCACCTTCTGGCCACACACCCCTGATGAGCAGCTGGACTATGTTGACCCTGACAAGCCCGCTCACTCTGGTCACTAAGACCTCATCGAAGGCCTTAGCATCACTTCAAATTGTCTTCATATATCATTTGTTTTGGTAGATGACTTATTGTGAAGTTTTACTAAGGTTATAGCAAGTTACAATCAATTGTTTATTTATGTAGGAATAAAGTGAAATATTTACTACCATTATTTGTTTCTGTTCTTCCTCAATGATATAATAATCAGAATTGGATGATATCGTGATAAATATTTTCTGAAATCCTCCGAAGGCATCCAGGTAACAAATAGTTCTTGAGAAGACTAAATTGACTTCCTATAAAACAAAATGGCGCCATGTTCCGACCTTTAAATTTAAACTACAAATGTTATGGGATCATAATATTGCCTCACTACAGCGATCGTCGCTATATCGAAACCGTTCCGTCGACAGGTTACTGCAACGAGAGTACAAGATATCGATGGTAAGTACATCGACAGGGCACAATTTCGATGGTACGCTTCATGGACTGTTCATCGTATCGATGGTCGCTACATCAACAGTCCGATTTAAGCTATACCCAAATACTTAAAAGGACCTAATAAATATATAAAAAACAGTTTTTAAAGGTTTTAATGTGAAAATCACAACTATTTTGTAACTCATAGTGGTACCTACCTACTTATTTATATCAAGTTATTAATATACTACCAAGGTGTCCTTTGTGTCCGTTTCATATATGTTTGTAAAGTCCCCCGCAACAGGATTTATGGAGTTTTAAAACAAAATATAAGTAACGAGCGATCCGCCCAGGCTTTGCACGGATGGAATGTAGATAGGTAATAATGTGGTGTCAGTGTGGACTAATATTTTCTTTATAAAAGAAATCCCGCACTACGAATATATCCTGTCGCGGGGGACTTTACAAACATACATGGAAACGGACACAAAGAACACCCAGACTCAGAACAACAATTTGTAGATCACACAACACTCAGCGTAGTAGTAAACGGCGATGTGACCGCTTAAACCACTACGCCATCCGTGCAGTCAAATTAAATTATTATGTGATTTTCTAAAACACACAGCGTTGATGTGAAGAAGACTGTCGTGAATATGCCCTATAACTAATTGTCTATGGTTAAAACTTACCGGTTTGTCTTTGGTCTCTATACTTATCTCTTTCTTTCACCAGTGTGCGTCCTCTTCTTTCAAGTAGGAGGATGCTTCTTACAACTGTCAATTCATAGCGTTTGTGAATTTTGCCGCGTTAACTTAGCAAAATTATTTCAGGGAATAATTAACATAAAATTTGGTTGATTTAACACACAGTGCTTATTATAGTGTTTAGAGAATAACATCACAAGGAATCTGACACTACATGAATCCCCAAGAGAAAGCTTGTGAGGGGGGTGAAGATGTTTCGAGAATTGATGCTTCGGAAGAAGATCAATCTTCGAACGCCTTGCCTGATGATACATCATCCTCTTCATCCTCGGAGGAGGAAGAGGGCATGGCGTCACCCCCACCTAACAAGCGGCGCAAGGTACGTAAGTACGAAAATATTCCACCTAACTCAGACCCACGCGTAGACACTTTGATCCAGCAGGTCAGTTATATTTCACAATATCTTACACAATTAGTACCTCCCACCTGCACGTCAGGTGTTGAACATCAGAACAATACTCTTCCATCTACATCTGCATCGCAATTTCTGAGTAACCCAGCAACTTCCTCCCATTCTTATAAGCTCTCGTTAGGCGAATTGGGCACAGAATTTGATGAGAAGTCCCTTGTTCCGCCAGCTAATAAAGAGCGCTTACAAGAGCTAGCTCATCTCCAAAAATTTGACTCGCCAGCCTGGAAGAGCATTCGATATAAGAAAGCTCTCCAGTCTTGCATTGCAAGCCCAGGCTTTATAGGTTTGAAATTAAATGAAGAGTTATGCCACTTTAACAAGACCAAAGACTATTTAGCTTCAACTGAGCAATTATTAGCAGGTTTATCTAATAATATATTAGAACAAAGATACTTACTTAAGACAGGGTTACAGGACCTTCTTGATTGGGCTTCATCAAATTCAAATAATGTAGATCCAAATAGTTTATTTGAGAAAATGATAAGCACCTTTGGCCCAGGTTCACCCTCTTATAAAAAGTCAGAAACTGCTATGCAGATAGTATGTGGTAAGAGAGCAGAGTGCATTGAGGTGCGTCGAGATCGCATTCTGAAAGAGATTGAAAACCCCAACTTACGTCTTACACTGCAGAACATTCCCCCTAGTCAAGAATATCTGTTTAGCCGAGAGGCCTTGCAACCGGTTATAGCTTCTCTGGGAGGATCTCAAATGTGGCTAAATACTCCGTCTTATGTTAGAGAGAAGAAATCATATAATATAGCACAATCTCAGTACAGGAAACCTCACAAAACTCACAGTAGAGACTATAAAACTCATACCAAGAATTATAAGTTACAAAATAAGGATTATAAGTCACAGAATAAACAAAACTTTAAATATAAAAGTAGTCAGCCCTTTCGTAAAGGCTATTCAAATACCAACCAAGCCAATAAAAAACCGAGTTGACTACCAAGCCAGAGTGTTCAGGGGGGGTTGCCTAAAAGAGTCTGCTCACCTTTGGAAACAAAGAGGGGCCAACAATTACATTTTACAGGTAATAACTGGAGCCCGCATCCCTTTCTCGAAGAGACCACCCCTACAGTATCCGCACAGCCATGTCTTAAGAAAATTTACCACAAGGACCTCAGCAGAGATGACAAACATAATTTGTCAATTAAAAAAGCAAAACATACTAGAACCTCTGCCAGTCATAAATCCAGGTTTTCTTTGTCGCATGTTTCTAGTAAAAAAGTCAGATGGAGGTCTACGCCCCATATTCGATCTCAGAGGTCTCAATTCATTTGTAACAGTCAAACATTTTCAACTGATTTCACAGACAGATGTAACAGAATTTCTGCAGATCAACGATTGGTTAGTGAAAATAGATATCCATCAGGCATATTTTCACTTACCAATTGCGGAGACACACCGACGGTTTCTCAGAGTATTTTACAACAACGAGCTACTTCAGTTAACAGCTCTACCATTTGGCCTGTCATCAGCCCCAAAGATGTTTGCCACAGTTTCAAATTGAATTGCGGAGATCCTGCGGGCACAGGGTGTCCGGATACTTGTGTATTTGGACGATTATCTGCTTGTCAATCAGGATCGACAGATGCTAGTTTCTCAGGTTGCGGAAACGCTGAGAACATTGGAAACTTTGGGATGGCATCTCAATTACGTGAAGTCAGTTCTAGAACCGTCTCAAAAGCTAGATTATCTAGGCCTGATATGGGATACACAACAGAACAAAATAATGCTCCCTCAAAAAAAGATAACAAAAATAAAATTATTAATTTCCAAAATGGTAACCCAGGGCAACAGTTCTTTAAAAGAACTGCAGAGTTTATTAGGTTTGCTCAACTTTGCAAACTACACTGTACCCAGGGGCCGACTACATTGCCGCAGGTTACAACTTTTTCTAAAACAATTCCACCAGGGAAGGCCAAGAGAAAGAAAAGAAATGCCATTACTTGTTCAACAGGACCTAAGATGGTGGATAGAGACTGTGGAGCACAGCTCACTGCCAATAATAAAACAGAGAGTGACTCATTTCTTGACTACAGATGCAGCAGATACAGGGTGGGGAGCTCAATTAAACAACAATTTTTTATCAGGGAAATGGGCCCCATTTCAGAGACCTTGGCACTCAAACATAAAAGAGATGTATGCAGTATTTGCTGCAATCAACAGTCAGCGGATGACTCTAGTAAATGCACACATTTTGATACAGTCCGACAACAGAACTCTCGTTGCTTATCTCAGGAACGAGGGGGGGACTCGCTCCATAGCACTACTAAAACTGACAACAAGGCTTCTAGAACTGACAGCACAGTTAAACATAACTCTCTCAGCCACCTATCTCCCGGGGAGATTAAACCTAATTGCGGATCGTCTGTCGAGAGGTCGCAAAGTACCAGAGTGGCATCTTCTGCCCCAAGCCACGGAGGCGATATTCAAAAGGTGGGGCGTCCCCGACGTCGATCTGTTCGCGTCAAAAGAGTCAGCGGTCGTCGCAGATTACGTAACTTTAGATTCGAGAGATGGTTCTGCTATCTTTTGCGACGCCTTCAGTCGACAATGGGACTTTCGACTGGGCTGGGCATTTCCCCCACCCAGCTTAATACCACGGGTATTAGCTCACTTAAACAATGCCAGGGGAATGTACATCCTGGTAGTTCCACAGTGGACCAAGTGCTTCTGGCTACCGGACGTGCAAGCACGAGCCAAAGTAGAGCCACTGCAGATAGAGAACCTGCGGAAGGTATTAGTGGATCTAACCACAGGCAGTCACCCTCCACAGGTGGACAAGTTGTCTCTTCTAGCCTGGAAAATTGGGGGTGGGCTGACAAGGTAGTCCATTGGTCCAGGGCTGAACAAGATTTATTAAAAAGTAGTTGGCGGCCTTCTACTTTAATAACATATAATGCCCCATTAAAAAGGTGGTTATCATGGTGTAACGATCACCAAGTAAATCCTAAGTCACCAGAGGGTACAGAGGTTGCTAGATTTTTAGCTAAATTATTTTTAGAAGATAGATTAGCTTATAAAACCATTCTTTTACATAAGTCAGCAGTTGCCACATATTGTGCCCCTTCAGGCACAGACATTTCCAAAAATTTCTTTGTACACCAGGTCTTAAAAGCCATTTCCCTTGCTAGACCTATCACCCAAAAGTTACCAATTTGGGATACAACAATTTTATTTGATTGGCTAAAGACCTCTACCAACACAGGTTCATTATTTGAGACTGCTAGAAGGACCGCATTGATACTCTTATTGGCCTCAGGCCGTAGAATACATGACCTAACATTACTAGATATCAGCCCACAAAATATAATCCACAATGACAATGAGATTAGTCTATGGCCTAAATTTGGGTCTAAAACTGATTCTAGTACCCACAGACAGTCAGGTTGGTTGTTGCGGAGACATCCAATACCTCAAGTTTGCCCTGTTGGGCACATTAAGAACCTCATAGAGATGTCTAAGAGTCGAAGAGAGATGAATACTAATGTCACAAGTCTTTTCCTATCATTGTCAGGGCAGTTGAAACCAGCTTCTAGAACTATGATTGCAGGTTGGATCCGTACAATTTTTAGGGATGTAAAGATCAATGCTCCACCAGGTAGCATCAGGTCCGCTGTAGCCTCAAAAAGTTGGCTAGAAAATAGACCTATTCAGGAAATATTAGACAGAGGTAACTGGAAAAGAATGGAAACTTTCAAGAAGTTCTACTGTCTACCAGTTCTCAGGACAGAGGACACAAACAACGCTGACCTATTATGTGCCAATTTTTCTAATATTTAATTAACTTTTTATTCCTTTAAGTTAATTTTAATCTTTGTTTAAATTAAAGTTCCTTATTATTTTCCACTGGATCTCATTATATTAATAATTTTATATTGACTTAATTTATTTGTTTCTTGACTTGATGAACATATATAGTAAGAAGAATATACAGCTTAGTAGAAATAATAATCTCATCATATTAATAATTTTATATTGACTTAATTTATTTGTTTCCTGACTTGATGAACATATATAGTAAGAATAAAATCGAGCTTAGTAGAGATAATAAGCTAATTAAGTTTTTTAAGTTTAAAATTGTTATTGCAAAATAGAATTGATTTACTTTTTAAACAGTGTTATGATTTATACTCATCATAGCGTTTGTGCTTCCACCAGCAGATAACAAACAAGTCTTCACATCAACGCTGTGTGTTTTAGAAAATCACATAATATAACTGTTTTGCATTCCAACAAAACAGGTATTATGTGTTGAATAAAACACACAGCGTTGCAGCAATGCTCTTGCTGGTGATTTGAAGACTCTATGAATTGACAGTTGTAAGAAGCATCCTCCTACTTGAAAGAAGAGGACGCACACTGGTGAAAGAAAGAGATAAGTATAGAGACCAAAGACAAACCGGTAAGTTTTAACCATAGACAATTAGTTATAGGGCATATTCACGACAGTCTTCTTCACATCAACGCTGTGTGTTTTATTCAACACATAATACCTGTTTTGTTGGAATGCAAAACAGTTATATTATGATTAGACTATATATATATATTATAGGCCGACCGTTTATCCGAGTCCTCGCCTGCGCGGTAACAGGGGCGCGGGGGTATGACGACAAAAGGGACTGAGACAGGTGCGGGCGGCGGGGGCGCTTAGTGATACACACGAGATGAAATGCGCTAAGATAGTTCCTAAGATATGTGACGTCATAGTAAAGAAATAGTGATTTATTAAATGAAAAATTATTAATGATAATACAAAATTTTAATTAACTAACTAAAAGCTATGAAAGTACGTAAATAAAATATTTGGTAATAAACTATTGTACTATTTATTATATAGAATAATCATCAAAATTATATTTCAATCAGTTATGTCCATATCAATGTCGGTGGAACTTGATTCTTCACTTTCGAAAGAGTCATCATCGGATTCATCAGAGTCGTCCAGAGTGTTAATAATAAAATCAACAGCATCATTCCGAATTCCATCATGTTTGCAGTACTCGTCCTCGATATTAATAACATGGTTAACACAATGCTCCCACTTCTGTGCACAATATTCAGCAAATAATCCCTCTAACATAGTTTTTTTTTGGTCTAGATTAGAGTCCACACTTTTTTGTGCTAAATATCACCCCAAACCAAATCAATAGGGTTCAGGTCTGGGTGATAAGGAGGCAAACGCAACACTTCATGCCCGTTTCTTTTCAATAACTCTTCAATTTTATAAATATCTTCAGTTTATCTTCAATTTTGATAAGTCGTCCTTTTTCAGCTTATCATCGAAAACCACGTCGTGTCGTCGTAACCATGTTTGCATAACTGCCTTGGTAGAAGCCATTTTTTTCTTCTCGAACCGAATGGTAAGCTGCGTTATCCATCCGCATTTCTTAAATTTAAAACCTAGGTCATGTAACAACAGCCTTAAATATTCCCTTCCGCAGTGTAATATATTCTCTTCTCTAAGTACAGCATTCAACGTTTTCAGAGTAGGTATTTTTTTATTAATTGAAATCGTCTATTTCTACTCTTTTTTTGCGAACCTGTTTTGATTTTTTCGGTGATTTGAACCTTTCAATAATTTCCCTTGATGTACGATTCTAGATCCAGTCTTTTCCGATAGTCCAGTAACATCTACTACGGTTTTGTTTAAATGTATGTCTTGTTGATATTCAACAGAATTTGGGTCGTTTCTTTTTTCTAAAATATTCATACACGTTTAAAGCCATTTGCTTGCACTGACTATTCACTTTATCACCGAAGATCTTACGATTCATCTTGAGATTGTTATCACATGTGTATCTCTCACAAGGCGTCCGCAACAATTAACACGTGCACGTGCGATCGCTGTCCGCGTTGCGATCGAAATGAGCGATTACAAAAATTCGCCCGCCGCCCGCACCTGTCTCAGTACCCTTTGTCGTCATACCCCCGCGCCCCTGTTACCGCGCAGGCGAGGACTCAGATAAACGGTCGGCCTATAGACAATATGATTAGACATACATAGAGCCCGACGGCCGTTCTGCCCCTGCATTTTAAATCTCTGATTTCTTCTAAGGTATTCATTTTAATGATGTGCTGTAAATAATACTAAATTACTTAAGATACAGATGAAATGTATTGTTAAATAAAACCAAAAAGATTTGATTAAAATTTATTTTCTGTGGATTGCACATTTCATACGTCACCAGTACGACGCTGACAAAGTTACACAAAATAGGAATGTTACATTTTCTGTCTGAAGGTCATCTAATGGTGCGGTTATGCTAAGTGCAGTGGTTACAACCCTACAAAAAACTACATTGCACAGACATTTTGATTAATAGTTATATTTTTATTCAGATATGGAGATCAACACATCATTCTGACCATACCTATGGCTATTAATTTATTATCTTAGAGGTTACGCCACTTTCACGCTCTAAAACAATAAACTATTTTAAAGTACATATTAAATATAATAAAATAATAATTATTTTACATGTACATACAGTATTTTTATAAAAAAGTTGCATATGTAAAAAAAATGGTGGACATATAACATGCGAAGTGGTGTCCCGGAACCTTTGTCAAGACTAAAACTTGTAACATTTTTATTTAAGAGGCAGTGTATCTAATAATGTGATGTAAATAAATGAATAATTTGACTGCAAAAACAATTATAAAAATCCGAAATGTGAATTTCATTTTAAATGATATCCTAATAAAAGAGTGTAGGTACATCACATGTTACATATTATAAAAGTAATTTGTTTTCTAGTAAAAGTAAAGTAAAAGTAATGTCTGTTGGCATATTTTACACCACATGAACAAAGAATTTGTATACGAGAAAAAACCAAAAAACCAGAGTACAGTTACAATCTTATAAATTGCTATAATTTTGGTAATACAATGACCTTTCAATAATTTGAACACTAAAAATAAATATAAGACAATTTTAATGAGAACAAACAACAATTTTTGTATTTCAGAGTGGCGTAACCACACAAAATAAAACTATACTCTGTTTTGATGACGTATACCATAATTATATGGTAATTACTCTAGTAAAGTACCTCACTGTTCGATAAATACATGTATATAAATATGTAGGTGACAATTGCATATAAAATACGATATGATCAGGTTTATAAACCTTCAATTTGGAACCTATTTTGTAATTCACTTTTATAAAACCCTTTGGGTCCGTTATGCACCCTTTTAATATACATATTATAGACTCGTCCATTCCATTTAATAATCGCATTTTTTTTATTATTAAACATTTATCATTGTAAGTGCAAAATACCTGTGAATTATTACCAAAACGGTTGAAACATATATATCGTTAGTGACGTTCTGACAGTGGTAAGCCATTTTATTTGTGGTTACATAATGGTGGTGGTTTTCTTTATCCAATGGTATTAAACCACTGGATAAAGAAAACCTTCTTTCTAAGGAGAGGCCATGTCCAACAGTGGACTATTGAAGGCTGTGGATGATGATAATGATTGATGAAAGGGAGAACATGCTTTTTTTTAAAGACGACCTATGAAAGATAGAGCTAACCAGTAGCGTTCCATTTTAGGCCTATATAATTTAATAATAATTTTATAATATTTCGAACATCTGACACACAACGCCATCTAGTTTCAAAAGCTAGATTGACTGATAGAATACTTAATTACTTTTTTTTGTAAACACATACATATTATACATGGAAAACAGCCAATCTCCGAAACAAATATTTGCAGATCATACAAACATTTGGTCCGACCCGGGAATCGAACCCAAGACCCCAGCACAGCAGTCGCATACGCTACCACTGCGCCACACAGGCAGTCAAATAACATTGCGAACTCGCTCAATTTCTAATTCGATTCTTAACCTGCAACATTATCCACGAGATTGGTTGAAACTTTCATCTGAACAAAAATTTTGCTCAGTTCAGTAAAACATTTACTTTGCTCATACGTAAAGTACACAATATTGACTCCAGCACTGTTAGAACTTCACTTAGGATTTATAAAATTAAATTTAATTGTCATTATGACATTTTTGAACAAAAAAATTTACTTCATTTTCAAGATCACTAGAATAGCTTTCTTTAACAAAACGCTGTGATCGTTTTGAATTATACGCTGGGCGATTTAGGACACAAATAGATTCATCACTTAAATATATAAAATGCGCCCAATACCTTCTCCGGTGAAGGTTAAAATATTTGTACCTATTTAACTAAACATGATCGAAATGACGAAAATGGACAATGTGGATAAGAGAATAAAATTTAATTCGGTGTTTAATTTCAGATTGAACATGGCTTTAATTAAAACTATACTATTTGTCTACCTAATCAGGCCAGGTGTTGTGCAGGAAGAATTCAAGGACCTACAGTATAAAATAATCTGCATTAACATTAGTGTGGTGACGGATTAAGAATACGGAGTGTCACCACCCCTATTCATCCCGTGGGTGTCGTAAGAGCCGACTAAGGCAGCTAACGTAGGAAAACCAGCACTGCAAAAAGAAGGGAAACTTGACACAAATCCTATACCAACCCGTCTGTCCAGCGTGGTATAGTAGGCCAAAACCTCCTTTCTAAGGAGAGGCCTATGTCCAGCAGTGGACTATTAAAGGCTGTTGATGTGTGATGAGAACATTATGAAAATACCAAATACGTATGTATTTGTGATAAAAAAATCATTTAATTGTAACAAAGTTGTTTTTGTTGATATATTTTAAATACAGATCATGGTAGATTGAATCATTTCTGCACAACACTGTCCACATAATAACAATACATTTGAAATATAAAGATCAATGAATTTTGCCCTCAATGTTAGACATTTCTTTTCTGTATTGATTAGTTTGACTCCATTACACATATATTAACCGAGGCGACATATATTATGTTGTCTTGAGCGATAATGCTGTTAGGTCGAAAAATCACTAATAGTTTTCCTTAATTCTTTTTTAGTGACAGTCTAAAAATGACTAGTTCGTACTATTACGAACACTAAAAAATAAATGTAAATAATGCGCTTACATTACATTAAATTTTTAATTATCTGTAGGTTAATCAGAAAACTCATTAAAGAAAATACTTGTAAGAGTATACAAGGTGTAAGGGACATCGTCGTTTTCAGACCATGATTCTGTCACTGAAATTTTCTACCGGAAAATTGTTTTTTTTCTTTCTATTTTCTGGTTAAAAATTATGACAAATGATATCACAATGAGTTGACAGAACATTTTATCGAAAACAATTTAATAAATACCAAAAAAACTGCAATGTAATTATTAATCCGGCCGCCATTTTGTCTTAGTGTTAGACTGTTTGCACGGAATACACATGTAGTGATTACTTTTGTGCGATACCTACGTTGAACGACCTTAACCTTTGACATCTAATTGCATAAAAAGTTCAATTTGCCAGCAGAAAATGCCAATGATTTTCGACTCAGAATGATGGTCTGAATACACAATTTCAGTATTCGTTACGACGTCCCTTACACCCTGTATAAGTTGAACTGTCATCATAGTATGTAAACCTATACAGGGACAGCTCAAGTCATACTGGCTAAAGAAAGAAATGAAACTAAAAGCTGATAGTGAAATATCGACCAAAATTAAGAATTATAGTCAAAATTCGACTGTAATTCGACCACGATCTCTAGTTACAGTACATATTATGAAATGTCTTTGATGACACCATCACATTGATATTGAGCTCATCATTTCACACCACATCTAGTCTTTTTCAATACTAATTTATCTATTTAGCGCCAAATTTAGTGGCTGGAGGAGGTGGGGGTTGGGCATACATATTATAATAACTAGTTGGAGGGGGGACGTTAAATCCACCTGTCGGGGCGGTAAAACCCTGGCTTTGGTTATTATACCCCCCCTGGCTTTGGTTGTTATAACCTTGGTTGTTGAAGCTCTGTCCGTCAGAACTGCTTCCGCCCCGTCCTCGGCCGCGACCGCGGAATCCGTTGTCCTGTCTGAACCCTGAGCTGTCTCTGTTGGAGCCACTGTCACGATTGCCGAAGCTGGAGCGAGTGTTGTAACCGGAACCAGAGTTTTGGTTGTCGAAGCCGTTGTTTGAGTCGTCCCATCGTGAACCTTGAAAAATATTAAGTTTTATATTAAAATTTTAGTATGAGTAGTCTTTTAGTCGTAAATCTATACTAATATTATAAAGCTGAAGAGTTTGTTTGTTTGTTTGTTTGAAAGCGCTAATCTCAGGAACTACGTGTCCGATTTGAAAAATTCTTTCAGTGTTAGATAGCCCATTTACTGAGGAAGGCTATAGGCTATATATCATCACGCTAAGATTAAGCGGAGCGGAGCACCAATGAAGAATGTTTCAAAACGGAGAAAATTTATTACTATTGAGAGACGCAAACGAAGTTGCGCGGGTCAGCTAGTAACTTATAGTCTTAAGACCCGCCCTCTGACCAATCACGCTCGAAGCTTTCGTATGAAACGGTTTTTTTTAAAGACAACTCTACAACAAATATGTGTCGTGAGGGACTTTAAAGACATGTAAGAAACGGAAATAAAGAATAACCAGATTTAGAACAACAATGTGGATAACACTAAATGTCCCATGGAGGATCGAACCCATAATACTTAGTGAAGTAGGAAGTCGTGAAGCGCCCGCTTAAACTAGTGTGCATCTAGATAGGGGGTTTTTTTGAATCTTTGCAAAATGAAATAATATTTGAATTAGTAAGAACGTAGAGCAAAAGCCATTAATTTCTTAAACGAGAACTAAAACTGTTAGGATTAAATAATTTGAGTCCTTAATCCAGATTTTTTTCATTGCTATGTCATTCGTGCAGACAAACGATAGTTAGTTGGAAGGTGATAGGGTTTAGTGATGCTGATGAGTGGTGATGACGGATTAAGAATACGAAGTGTCACCACTCCAATTCATCCCGTGGGTGTCGTAAGAGCCGGGAGCAAACTATGCAGGACAACTGCATTGCAAAGAGAAGGAACACTTGAAACAAACCCTATACCAATCCGTCGGGCCAGCGTGGTACAGTAGGCCAAAACCTCCTAAGGAGAGGCCTATGTTCAGCAGTGGACTATTAAAAGCTGTCGATGAAGTGGTTAAGTGGTGGGTTAGTGTGGTGTGGTGGTGTACAGACCCCGGTCGGCCCCGAAGCGTCCCCGTGCGCGCGGCGCGTCCCGCCCGCGGCCGCGCGCGGCTCCAAAGCGCGGCGCGCCCTCGTCGCGCTCGCGGTAACGGCTGCGGTCTGCAACAACAAGTATTTTCTAATATAATAACCTTATGCATGGCCGTCTCGTCTCAAACTAAGCAGAACCTGTGCTATAGTACCCTTTTTTTTCTGTGGGGAAATCCCCTCGGATACCACCTATCGGTGGCATGTCGGACTCGAACCGAATAAAACCGCACGCCGTCTCGGCTACTAATAGCCAGAGAACCAGGTATACCCTAGAAAGGAAGTCCCTGGTACCCCGACATACCTCGGGCCATCTACAACAACAGGTAGACGACCCCCAGTGTGAGAACCCCATGTTCCCTGTGCGCCCTGGAAGCGAGCGCGCTTTGCAACGCGCTCACCGCCACCCCGGCCTGTGCTATAGTACCCTGTATGCTGATAAACATACTTATTTATTTCTAAATACATACATATCATAGATACAATAAATGATTGTGCTCATCACACAATATTTGTTCTGGGTGGGAATCGAACCCACGATCTCTAGCATGACAGTCAGGATCACTAACCACTAGACCAACAGGCCCATCATTACGAATTTCTGTATAAAATACAGGAATATTTCATCAACTCGATTATAATGAAAGTTCAATTTTATAGGAATTAAATACTCACTAAACTTTCCCTTGAATCCCATACCGCACTGCGCTAGCTCCATGAGCTTGGGGTTTATAACTTGATTCGCTTCTTGCAATACCTGCATGAGATCTTTAGCCTGTAAACAAAATAAAACATTAGTTCACTCTCTCTGAATCTTACATATTGTTATATCTCATTCAAAACATCATTCGCATCAACAGGGCCGGATTAACCATTTGGCAGAATAGGTAACTGCCTAGGAGCCCCACTTCTGCTGTGAATTCCTGAAGAGTTACACATCAGTCAGGTTATGCTGCTGACTATATTACTCGCAACCCTTCATCAACTTACAAAGAGCTGAATCTTCAAAAAAAAGCATTGAATTGCTTAAGGACCTCGACAGGGCTAAACCAACCCGTAAGCAATAATTAACAAAGACTATATTATAAAGCCCAAGTAAGCAGATGGATCACCGTATGGCAAGGGACTACCACCACCAACTCCAAAGTTACAAGTGCATTACCACCCCCCTAAGATCAGAAAGAGGAGGAATTTCTGCTCCAGTAACTTCACACATTAGGGTTATGGTATCACTCAAGTAGTACCGGCCCATTTCCAGCCAACCTCCCCACTCTGATACTTGGTAGAAGGAAGAGAACTGGGCTGGACTATGAATCTTGAGTCTTGAGACGGCGTTAGTCAGTTTCCATCAAATGATTCGTCTGCCTTTTGCCTCTCTAATCATAAAAATATTAAATATACCTTAGCAGAGTTGTTGGGCGTGAACAGCGTGTACGCAGTGCCGGTGTTGTGCGAACGCCCCGTGCGTCCGATGCGGTGTACATAGTCCTCAGAGTTGTTTGGATAATCATAGTTTATCACAAACTTCACGTCCTCCACATCTGCACCCCAAGCAAACATGTTAATTTCTCACAAATTATATATATTTTTATCACAAAAAAAAAAACTTTTTAGTAAAACATTTGTTTGAGAGGAGTTAAAAGATTTGTTTTAATAAGATTCACACCAATCATTACATACAAACCACAATTACTTTGTATTTCGGGTATGACTGAGTTCCGGGCCCGATCAAACACCACTTTCGGGTAATTCTCTAATAAATTTACGTTATAGCGTGGCAGTCAGCTGTTGATACAATGCTAAACATAACATTCAATACCCTGCATACTCAGTCAGAATTTCTCGAGGGGGTATCTGGTCAAGTTTACATGTCCAATCATTTTAGAATTTCATCTCTTTTAAAAATTTATAATGTAAAATAAAAATCGGATAAGTGCGATTCGGACTCGTCCACCAAGGGTTCCGTACAAATTTATAGGTACATATTATTAATAGTTCAGGAATCGAGTCTCTCGGTGTTTCAGAGCTTTTCATGAAATTCAGTTTCCAAAACCTGATTACTTAAATTATGTTTAACCCCCGACGCGCCGCCGTCACAACAGTTGTGACATCAAATTTTTACGCGGTAGCGTCTCTGTCACAACATTTAGAAGAATACATATCAGGGATTCCAAATATGTTTATTTCATTGAATATAATTATAAAATAACGTAGATATTGAGGTAATAATGACTTCGCTCAGCTGTGACTGGGTCACTGGTTCAAGGGCGCGACAGTAACGGGTCATAGGTCATCCGCGCGCCGCGACGTCCTAAGAGTTAATAAGTAAAATTGTACCTTGATGATAAATAACGTACTATAAATAAAGACTATTATTTGTGATTTTATTACAAATGCAAATATTACTTGCCAAATTTCATAGTTCTAGTACGGAACCCTAAAATCAGGCATTATCGATTTAAAAGGATTTTTAATAAATGTTTTCTACTATCAAATAAAAAAATAATGTCTGTATGTTGTCCTCTATGCGTTACGAAACCATTGATCCGATTGAAATTAAATTTTGGTAGTTTGTTCTAAGGCAGTCCGCGAGGGTTCATGGCCCATCAAATAGTTTTTTTCGTTCTTTCTTTATACTTAACGTGGTAATGCAACGCGTGCCGGATACACCTAGTATGCAATAAAACAATATGAGCATTAATGATCCCTAAATTTTATAATTCTTTTATATTAATGCAATGCAGAATGAATTGATTATTATCATTATATTCATATTAATCATGACATTAATACATTAATTTATATTATTAATATTATTCATTATATACTTATTAAAAATTATCAAATTATTTTACATTATTATTTCATCATCATCAATCAACAGCCTTTAACAGTTCACTGCTGGACATAGGCCTCTCCTTAGAAAGGAGGTTTTGGCCTACTATACCACGCTGGCCAGACGGGTTGATATAGGGTTTGGGGTGCTGGGCTAGAAAACCTCCTCGTGGTGCACCCTGGAAACGCTGGCGATGGTACTGTTTCCTCCTTGTCCTCTTGGAGGAGAGGATTATCGCCAGCGGCCAATATTCTAGCAGAAGAGGCAGCCGTTCATCGGCTCTCGGGCAAGGCCTGGTCCAGCAGGGTGGGCGTGTCTGCCGGTTGCCCTGCTGGCTCTTCGCTCTTCGGAGCATGGAGGAGGAAACCTCGGTAAAAAACCGGATGGCGGGGCCCTGTAGGGGCCACAGTTTCTCCGCTGTCAGCGGTGGGGAAAGGAGGACGGGCTCGGCGTGTACTCACACTACCACCGAGCAGGCAGGGGGACGTAGTCTCCTTGTCAACCGTCGGCATATCGTAATCCCGAGAAGAGCGCTGTGGTTAAGTCTCGCGGCTCTGATCGGGGGCGAGGGTCTTGGCTTAACCGCCCGGACCGCGAGGAAGATAACCTCTCTAAAAAATTCCCCGAATCCCGTGTTCTGGTGCGTGGCCAGGGGATGCATGGCTGATGGGAAGTTCAGTCGCGAGCGCACTCCAAGCCGAGGTACCTGCGGACCCCTCGGTTGGGTTAAAAACTTACGCTTGCCCGGGTAATGGGGGATCTCTGCCCGGGTGGACCTTTAGTTCTCCCCCACTCGTGGGATTATTATGGAAGATTTTCAAAAACCTAAAAAACCAACCAAACCGATCGGAACCAAGCAACCAACGAAAAAGGCAAGCCTAACGGAAAAGGAAGCACAGCGAAGGAAGGAAAAGCAGAACAGTGGAGCGGATGGGTCGTCCACTGAGGGCGAGATGGTGTCGGGAACGCCTATCTCGATGGGGCTCCCAGAGGTCAGTCTGACTATGGTCACTGGGAGCCGAAGAGCATCGGATCGGCTGCGTTCCGGATCCACCGCTTCATCGGATGGCGCGGAGGCCATGGAAGCGGAGCGGAGCGACAGCCGGAAACGCGGACGCTCAGGGGACGTGGAAACCGACACGTCCGGCGAAATGATGCCACCAAAGGTGGCAAGCAGCCGCCGAGGGAGGGCGCGCAAACCGGCCTCGGTCGCGATCCCGTCAGGCTCCGCGTTCTCCAACGCGGAGTCGTACAGGAACGTACGGGTGGACGGCGAGGCCGTAGCGGAGGAGGAGATCGCGGATCTCCTGCTCAAGGTTCGGGAGCCGGTGGGGGGAAATGCCCCCCAGGCTCCCGTGTCCGTGCAGGAGAGGGCGAAAGCGGCGGTGGCCGTCATCGACAAGGTGGCCACCAAATCCGTGAACCTTAAGGGCTCGTTTGTGAGGGCCCTTAAGGACTCCTCCTCCGCTTTGTCGGAGGTCGTGGAGGGCCTAGCGGGCGACGTCTCTCGCCTGCAGGTGGCCAACGTGAAGCTGACGGAGCGGGTGAACGAGCTGAGCGCTCAGTTCGCCCGCTTCCAGGCGAACCTCCCCGAGCGGGAAGCCCCGTCCGCGTCCCAGCCTGCCCGTACCACCAACTCAGGGGCATTTGACTCCCAACTGCGAGAAATCCTCATCGCAGTTGGGAATATGCTGGACGGACGCCTGGCTGGCCTGGAGGCGAGACTGCCCCCTGCGCCGATTATGCGCCCCCCGCTCGCGTCGGCACAGCGGCCTAAGGCCGCCGCTCCGACCGCGCTCCCCGTAGTGGGAGGCCGCGTCTCCTACGCGGCGGCGGCGTCTGCCCCGACTCCATCGGCTCCCCAAAAGCCGAGGAGGGGGGCCAAGGCACCGGCCCAGGCGCCGGCCAAGGCACCGTCCCAGGCGCCGGCCAAAGTGCCGGCCAAGACGGGGCCTAAAACGGCGCCGAGGAGCGGAGTGGCATTCCCTCCGCTCCCCACTCCGACACCCCTGCCGGGCCCCTCCGCACCTGCCCCCTCCAACGAGGGCTGGCAGGAGGCGAGGGGCTCCAAGAAGTCCCGAAGGCGGGCCAAAAAGGCTGCCAAAAAAGCAGCCCAGGCCCAGCCTTCGCCACCGGTGGCAACGGCCTCCACAAAGAGGCCGCGGAAGCTGCAGCCGCCCAAAACCGCGGCTGTAGTGGTGACCGTGTCCCCGGAGGCGGCGGACGGCGGGCTGTCCTACGCGGCCGTGTTTAAAAAGGCCCGGGACAGCCTCGCTAACCACTTTGGAACGGTGGGGGTCAGGATGCGCCTCGCCCAGACGGGAGCTCGAGTCCTCGAGTTCCCTGGGGCTGAAGGCGCAAAGACGGCGGACTCCTTCGCCGAGAGGCTGCGGGGAATATTTGCGGCCACTGATGGTGTCAGGGTCGCCAGGCCTACCAAGTGCGCGGAACTGCGCATCTCGGGCCTGGACGACTCAGTAACGGCCGAAGATGTCCGCGCTGTAATCCGGGAGAAGACGGGGTGCAGCGCGGACAACGTCAGGGTCGGCACCATCCGCCCCGGTCCAGGAGGGCTTGGCGCCGTGTGGGTCAGCTGTCCCGTAGCGTCGGCCAAAGTATTGGCCGACGCCGGCAGGCTGCTCATCGGTTTCGTGAGCGCCAGGATCACAGTCCTGGCGGCGAGACCGATGAGGTGTTTTAAATGCCTGGCCACGGGACACACGCGCGTCAAGTGCGACAGTTGTTTTGACTGCGGCGGACTGTGTTTCCGCTGCGGTCAACCGGGGCATAAGGCGGCAGAATGCTCTGCCGCCCCTCACTGCCCAGTGTGTGCGGCGGGCAATAAGCCCGCCAATCACCAGATGGGGCAGAGAGGCTGCAAGCCTCCCCGCAGTTCTCGGCAGACGTCGGGGGTTAGCCAGTCGACCCAGGCTGCCTCCGATATAGTTCGTGCGTCGACGTCGTCGCCCATGGAGGAGGTTGTAGAGACGATCCAGTAATGGATCAAGTCTCCAACCTCCTGGTCCAGACGAACCTGAACCACTGTGCCGCGGCGCAGGATCTCTTCCTGCAAACCATGGCACAGTGGTCGATAGGTGTTGCCGTAGTCGCGGAGCCCTATTCTGTCCCTCCCCGTCCAAACTGGATGGGTGACTGGGACGGCTCCGTGGCAGTCGTCGGTTCCACGACGGCTCATTCCCCGCCCTTGTCGCTAAGAGACAAGGGCACTGGATATGTTGCCGTCGAGTGGGGGGGGGGATCACCATATATGGTGTCTATTTCTCCCCCAACCGGAGTTTGAACGACTTCGAGGTTTTCCTGACCAGCTTGGAGACCTCGATACGGCGACTAGCGTCTGGGCACGTCCTTGTGCTGGGGGACTTCAACGCAAAGTCCATTGCGTGGGGTTCCCCCGAGGCCGTAGAGGAGTGGGCGGCCTCGGTGGGCCTCTGTCTTCTAAACAGAGGCTCCACCAACACGTGCGTGCGACAGCAGGGGGGGTCGATAGTGGACCTCTCGTTCGCTACCCCTGCCCTCGCCGCACGAGTAAGGAACTGGCGTGTCCTGGAAGAGGTTGAGACGCTCTCGGATCACCTGTATATCCGATTTGAGCTCTCCCGGACCCAGGACTCCAGTAGGGGTCACGTGGCGCGGCGTTTATCCCGCTTTCCGCGGTGGGCTGTTGCCAGGCTGAACCGGGACCTA